CAGCGGCCTCGGCCAAAGGGCTTCGCTTCCGCCGCAGTAGTAGAAAACTTTCCGCCGGCGATGGCGGTCGCCGATGTGGGAAGCAGATCTCCAGCTTTCATCTCATCCCTAGCGAACTGAAGTCGAGCTTCGAAGCAGTTCTGAGAAATAAATAAAAAAAAGCGACTGAGATCCTCTGGAGCAAAAATGTTGCCTTTCTTTTCATATTATTAAATTTTCACAATCGCAAAAATTCAAATGCTGCCAATTTAAATAAAAATGTCAAATCGATAACATAAAATAAAATACCTCTTATAAATGCGCGCATTTTCTGTCCGGACACCTGATATACCTCTACATGCGGCGCAGGTTATTCCTGTGTTATTTTTAGATTATTTCTAGGTTATTTTCAATAATCCCGAAATAACCCACAAATAACCCAAAAATAAAAACTGCGGTTTATTTCTGGGTTATTTAATCCGAAAATAAACCAGAAATAATATGAAAATAACTCAGCAATACACTGCGCTGCACATAGAGCTACGTCAGGAGTCCGCATAGAAAAATTTTTGCTTAAAAAATAATTTAAATAAAAAATAATTTAAAAATTTCTGCTACTAATCGGATCAATTTGACTTTTTAAATACTTAATTTATGTTTTTATCAACCTATTTTTAAACCTGGTTTTTTGCTTAATTGGTTTCTATGGATTCTCAATGAATTGAAATGTTATTATGATTAGTAATAAATTTAATCATCAATAATTTAAATAGCAAGACATTAAACATTTTTAAAATTTTATGATTTTATTTTCTGTTTATTTAGAGCAAATTAATTTTGTTCATTTCATACTTAAAAAATTAGCACAAATTGATTTTTTAATCAATCATAGAATAAAAAAAGAAATAACAATCAATAAAATAAATTAAAATAAGATTAAAAATAATAAACAAACTAATATTTTAAAAAGCTAAATACTTGAGGTGGAATTAAGTTATGTTTACAATCGACATTTGACTCTCATTTCTTATATATATTTGTCTTGAACTTTAATGTTAAGTTTGTATTTAATTTGATTGATTAGTTGTTATTGAGCTAGGCTTTATATAAATTATTGTCCTTTTGTGATTCATGTTTTAAAATGTCTTTCTTAGATTAAGCCTTCTTAAGGATTTGATAAAATATTTATGATGTAAGGCAAGCATTTTTTTTATGGGTGACGAGTAAATCTAAAAATCTTATTTAAAAAATAATAATTTGAAACTCACCCCACTAGTTTATTTTTGGGTGTCTTCTTAAATCACACAATTTGAATAATTTTGTAATTCATCGTACCCACGAACCTTGTTAGATCATTTCTAACTATATTTGTGTCGTGAGTGTCTTTCTCTTGTAACATTCGCTATGTCACAAACTAGCAAACACAACAATTGTAGTGA